TGCAGAAGGCTGCAGCTCTTTCTTGGAGCCATTGCCACCATCCCTTTTGTCAAGGGAATTGCCACCATCCCTGCCACCATCCCTTTTGTCAAGGGAATTCTCTTCATCTTCTGTTTTTCTCTTCTCTGGTGCCATTGGCTGGGGCTCAACCTCTTTTTCTTCCCTCTTCACCTCTTTATTCTTCACTTCCTCCTCCACTTCTTTCACTTTTTCCTCCCCTTCTTCCTTCACTTTTTTTTCTTCCTTCACCCCCATCATCTTGTTGATTTCCTCCTTTGTCATCTTCTTGGCCTTTGTGTTGGCCCTGTTCTGCTCCAGGTCCCAGTGAACCTGGCTGGAGAGGATGTCCTCAGTCTCCATGGCCTTCAGCTCCCTCAGACCCCAAGGCTTTCCCCTTGCAGTTCACACCAGGGCGACATGGCTTCTTTCCCATTTGCCCTTTGGTCAAGGGCAAATGGGCACCCTTTGGACAAAGGCAAAGGGGGCCCTTTTGTCAAAGGCCCCCTATGCTCTATGCTGCAGTTGTGTTTGTTGTTGTGTGTTTGTCATTGTGCCTCCCTGAGCTGTGTTCTGTGACTGTGTTTGTGTTTTGTGGTTTAAACCTTGAGCCTGAAAGTTGTGGAAAACCCTGTGACACAAGTGAACCCTGGTTGCCACAAACCCTGGGTTGTTCTTCCTACAGTTCACCGATGTATTTATATATATATATATATCCTTTTGTCAAGGATTCAACAAACCAAACCATAGATCTATATATTCACAACAGGTGCTCATGTTACTTGGTGGGCTAGACACATTCCACCTAAACACATGTCCCCTCCTAAAAACACAGGTACCAACCCCACCCCAAAACAGCACCAAAACATGTACCTTAACATATGCTCAGTTCAAACCACCACAGCCCAACCCCTCTTTTTCATTCAAAAAAAGTGTGTCAGGCAGCCCCCATGTTGTTAATGGGGTGCTTGGTTTTGGTTATCCTTTTGTCAAAGATAACCATGCACTACTGTTGAGTCATCCTTTTGTCAAAGATAACTATCATGTACCTTTTGTCAAGATACTTTTACCCATTGCTGTCAAGTATCTTTTGTCAAGATACTAAACAGATGCTGTCAAGTATCTTTTGGCAAGATACTCACCAAGTGCTATACAGTTCAGCTCTGAGATTGATTGCTTCTTCCTTTGTCAAGTGCTCTGTCTCCAGCCTTCTTTTGATCTCAGACATGATTGCCACATATTGAGAATGCTTTGCTTTGGTGCACTCCACAATCAAATGCTTCTTGCCTTTCCCATGCTTTTCAGTGGTTCCACATATGTAGATTATGAAAGGTGGCTTCTTTGTTTGGGTGACTTGAAGCTTGGTCCAAGGCTTCCTTGAACTTGGGGCTGGTGTTGTCTTTGTGTCCCCTTTTGCCAAGGGGCCTTTCTTCTTTTCTTTTTTTTCTTCTTCCCAGGCTTCTTGCAAGCTGGCTTCTTGGCTACTATTCCCAGGGATTCTTGCAAGGCTGCAGGTTCTTTGGGACTTCCCTTGGCCAAAAGCTGGCCTGGCCTCCTTCTTAGAAAAGAAGGGATGCCCTGACTTTGTTCTGTATCCCCTTTTGTCAAGGGTTCCTTGCTTTTCCCTTTTGTCAAGGGCTCTTCATCCCCAAGTGCCAAGGCTGGCAAGCACATCTTCTCATGTTCTGGTGTGGCAAAGCACTTTGGGAAGCCCTCACTGTCCACACTGACATCACTTATCTCCTTTTTGAGCCTTTTGCTCTCTGTCTCTTTGACATCCTGGTCCTTTGCTTCCCTTTTGTCAAGGAAAGCAACCTGCCCATTTGCCTCCTTGTGTTCGATCATCTGCACAACTTCTTGGAGCTGTACAAACTGAGCACCTGACAACCTAGCAGCACACAAGTTGAGATTGCTTTTGGCAAGCCTTCTCATATGAAACATGATCACACCCAGCCTCTCAATTCTTAATCCAATCCACACAGCTCCATTGAATTTACTGTTATTTATGGATGCATCTGTCACCAGGAGCTGGAACATTGCCCTTCGAAGGCAAGCACTATGTACTTCACATGTTTTCTCCAATCCCACCAACCCTTTTGTCAAGGGTAGCATATGCATCAATCCTTGTGGGTTGCAGCTCTGGCTTTTGCTGATTTGCTCATATGGCCCCATGTTTTGGAGCAAATCAACATGTTTATTGAACAGCTTCAGCAATAGCCCTTCATCAACTTCTGGTTTCTTGGTGTGCAGGTTGCCACCTTTGCATCCACCCTTTTGTGACATCCCCTTTTTGTCAAAAGGGATGTCTGCACAATATGGTCTATCCCATTTGAGCCAAAAAAATCAATGAGCGAATCAATTGCAAAATCAATTACAAAATCAACATTTTTTTCAATTCCTGTGTTTTTTTGTGGTTATTGAAAAAATCAATATTTCAAATCAATATCAATATCAATTGAAAAAACTACCAATCTTATTGATTAGAATCAATAGCCGATGCCCAGGGGATGGCCTCCAACCTAATAGCGATGGCCTCCAACCTAATAGCGATGGCCTCCAACCTAATATAGCGATGGCCTCCAACCTAATAGCGATGGCCTCCAACCTAATAGCGATGGCCTCCAACCTAATA